TCGGTTGCGTATCAGTTGGATCTGCCTGCCACATCCAAAATCCATCCCACTTTCCACATATCATGCTTGAAGCCTTTTCGTGGACCACCAGATGTGCACATCACCCCTCTACCTCCTATGAGTATAGACAACAGGCCAGTCCAAATGCCTCTTGCAATTGTAGCTTCTCGCACATTACTAGTTCATGGCATTCCACAGTTGCAATACTTGGTTCAATGGACGGATTCTGTTCCTGAGGATTCCACTTGGGAAACAGCTGCTGACTTACGTTTGGCTTACCCCAATATAGACCTTGAGGGCAAGGTCTCTCAAGGGAAGGAGGTAGTTGTTACGGACACAACCTCAAGTAGCTCAGCCCCTGGCCCAACTCCTGATGCTAGCCACTCAGCAAGGCCCATTAGGAAGAAAGGAAGCCCAGCTTGGTTGAAAGATTACACTTGTAATTGAGTTAGTAAATGAAGCGGTCAGTGATAGGTTATTGTTCTGTTGTAATACACATGGGGTAGTTACAGGTTGACAGGTGGCAATAGGTGTTAGTTGGTTATAGGTATACGTGTAAATCAAAGGGGTACAAAAGGATACCAATTGTACATGCACAGGGGGATCTGAAAATAAAACTTGAATCCTTTTTCTTCTCAAAATCTATTGTTTTCTCTTTTCCTCTGATACATTCGTATCAGGCTCCTAACATGCCTTTTGGATATTTATTTGAGAATGCCATTACAACACACAATAGGTTTGTGAAGTCCTTCATGAGCTGCAAAATATGTGAGCCAAATCACTGAATTCTGATTTTTTTAACATAGAGCGATTTGACATTGTGCCACTTCTTGATGAGACACATCTCTTGGTGCTTGCGGAGATGAAGTGCCCATATTCGGAGGTTATGGTGAGGGCTTTCTACCAGAACCTCCACTACCTACATGGCGAGCAGACTTCCCGCGTTTGGGATTGATATTTGTCCTGACTATCCCTATCTGGACTGAGATCCTAGGCTATGACTTTGATGCTATACCAGACGCAACCATGTATAACAGAGACTCCTATCATATTTTTGGTGGTTATGATCGGGAGGCGATTGTCGCGGAGACCAGGATGGCTAATGCAGAGGCTTGTCTAATCCTCAATGGACATGTACATATGTTATGACCAACTTGCTTGCAATGCTTACATTTACTCTCCCAAGGGCAGGTTCTTACGCGTTACTCACCCGTCCGCCACTGGAAACACCACTTCCCGTCCGACTTGCATGTGTAAAGCATGCCGCCAGCGTTCATCCTGAGCCAGGATCGAACTCTCCATGAGATTCCTAGTTGCATTACTTATAGCTTCCTTGTTCGTAGACAAAGCTGATTCGGAATTCTGCTCGAAGGTTGAGACTCAACCCAATCCATCTTATTCTGTATCCTTGAAGACTTTGGTCTTCCTTTCGCGCGTATCAATCTTGTGTCCGGGATTACAATTGGGCCAATGCCTTGTGGAATCAACGACTCATTGCCGATCGGATACCAATGTTAAGCATACACTTTAGCAATGTTTTGGATGGAGAATATAGGGTCAACATAATCATAGTGGTTCAACTTTGCTACCTTACAAACCGCTAAGACATGGCTGCAGGATACCTTCTTGTTGTGAACTTACCACATTAACACTTGCAATTGATCAAGTCAACCCTCATGGTGTCACCAACGTCATGTGTAGATTGATTATATGCGTCCTCAACCTCAAATAATAGTATATCACTATCATAAATTTGCACACGACACGTTCCTGCCAATTTATCATTCTTTTGCAAGGCTGTCTCAACCTTCTTTGAAATTCTCCAACCTTGTGCCCTATCTTTCTGGATCTTATAACGTCTCCTGACAAAATACTCAACAAGTCTACTACATGTCATCTTGAAAAGGAAAAATATGCGATCCAATTTAGTTAAGTTTCTTATTTTATTATTCAATTAGTTTGGTGTTAAATTCAAATACGATTTAATGTAAAGCAGTTTGGAATTTGGATTGAATTAATTTTTATTTTTTTCAAAGTGACAATAAATAAATTCTTAAATAGACAATAATTTTAATTTTAGTTTTTTATTAATTAGTGTTTTAATTTTTCATAATATTTGATCTTATTTTTTTATCACTTTATTTTCTTTTTCTAAGAAGAGTAGAATAGGTATATTTAGTTAATTTCTAACACTGTTAAGGAGGGATGTGGATGGAAAAAATCAAAGGAAATTAAGTGATTAAAAAAAAAAGAATTGTAAGTGATTCAAAGCAATACCACAAGATTTTTTTTGAAATTTTCCTTAAATTTAATAAAAAAATTATTTTAAAATATCAAATATCCCATTCCATAAGGCATGACATAATATAAATTACCGAAAAATATTAAATTTTACGAAATGATAAATACACATTTGTACATAAATTCTACAATACATGTAGCTAATTCTCACATATTACTCATTCTTATTTTTTTTTTTTTGTTTTCTTTCAAAAAAAGAAGAAGAAGCAAAGTATCCATGATATAGTATTTTTACTTTTATTTTAATATAAATGAAAATTAAACACATAATCTAATATAATGTACCCAAATTCCTTATCATTAAATCAATCATAAAATTTATAATGTGTGTGTTGCGCCGATCTACTCTGTTGCCACTTCTAGGATATCGGTAAATTTTAGCCATGTTTAGTTATGTTATTGGGCTAAGAAGGTTAAAAAACCTAGGGTAGAAAGTTTTCTCCATGTGTAGGCCTTGATGTTAAGAGCCCAAAGACATTCGTTCGGCTTGCTTACCATGAAAGACAATTGGACCTATAATGCCAAGTCAGTGAACAATGTTGCCAAACTCAAATTTTTATGTAAAAACGTAAATAGTAGAAATTATATGAAATATAAAATTTTTACCACTTAATATTAGGATATATATATATATATATATATATATATATATATATATGCATATAAGAAAAAGAAGGTAAGATCATTTCTCAAACCGCTTGACTTCCCGCAATAACATGTGGTTGTGATTCCCTACATTTTATATTTTCACCTCTTGTATGGTTATGATTCTTCACATTTAATATTTTCACCTATATATATGGTAACTATTTTTCTGCTGGACATCAAACGGCTAGAAAAATGTAAATCCTAAACAAAAATCACATAAGTCACTACTCAAAATTTAATAAATAATTTCATATTTAAAAGATACAAGTCATATATATAAGACAAAAGTTAAAAAAAAAAGAGAAAATTGGATTAAAAAAAGGGAAAAACTAATTTTATGTTACATGTGATAAGTTTCTCTCCTACACACTTTTCGATAACTGTGCCACTTTTTTTTTTCTTTTTTCAGGTGGTGAAGCCTACAAGTTTATATCTATGACATGAGATAACTTATCTCCTTTAACTTGAGATTAATAAAACCCTAAAAAAAATGAAAATAGGGTTTTTTTAAAAATAAAGCTTAAGTAAAAATGGTAAAAAACACAAAAACTTGCGTTTCTACCATTTTTATGTTTCTACCCGTTTTTACTAAGAATCATTTTTATTTTACTTGTGTTTTAATATGTTTTTACACTATATTTTTACCGTTTCTATATTTTTATATTTTTAGACAACAGTGGCAATGAATACTGAATAGAATCAAAGCGTAATTGTAGAGTTTTGGTAGGGTACAGAATCTAATTGAAATTTTTTAGGGTGTCTGGTTTTTTATGCTTTTATTTTCAGTTGATATTTTTCATTGTAATTATAAAAGTGTTATCTTATTTTTGTTTTTTTTTTCTTTTTAAAATTTTGTGAATTTTTTTTTTTTAATTCTTACATTTTATCATGTTAAGTACAAAATATTATTAGCGAGGTAATTTGATTTAACCTTACATCAAATAATTGCTATATTTAATTATTTATTTCTTAATTATGATTATACATCTTAAAAATTTACCTAGCTACGAATTGTTCCGTGACGGATTTAACTTCTTCCTTGTTCTCATTTTTCAGGTTGAATAAAAAAAGAAGAAAAATGAACATTTTACCAAAGAAAAAGAAAGAAAGTATTGATATGAACCTAGCTCTGATATTAGATTCATCAATGAATTAAGCTATATCAATCGTATCAAGTGAATTTGATTTCATATTCTAACTCAAAATTTTAAGACAATTGATTTATGAATCCTTTTATTTACATGAATTTCAGTTACTCCATTATCAATCAATATGGAATTCCATCATACTTATTAATATCCCAATATTACTAAACATTATAGTTAAGGCAGCTGATGAGAGCTGGTATTCGATTGAATGAATGCAGCTAAACCATTTTAAGATTCACCAATAAACCAAGCCCATCTATGGATATTCCAAATCTATGCCAACCCATCAACAACAACAATGTGCAGACCCTATTTTATTTACTTATCCTCGATGTTTAATATATTAGGAAGAAACCACATGCATTGACGTTGAATTACTGATATTAAAACCAGCAATCAACAGGTCGTTGTAGCAGTGAATATGAACGTGAGTCTTTTAATTTCCTCGAGGCTAGACAAAACAAAAAAAGCATATTTGTCTTAGTATCTTAATCCTCATATAAAAAGGCTTGCTTTTGATTATTCAAAAACCACCTGAAAAAACAACAAACTAATAATTACAGAGAACACATTATTATTATATCAAAGACTTTAGATCCAGTGTGTCCAAAATTTTTGTGGAGCATAAATCAATTACTCAACCCCACATTATTCATATGTACGACAAAACAGTAATCGCATCTTGCACAAGCTTAATAGTGTTAATAGGCCATGGTCTCCACCAAAAGCATCTTATACAGACAAGGATTCGATTCATTGGTCAAAGTTACTATTATTGCTATCTCGCATAAACAAACACTTTCCTCTAATCTTTTCCTTTCTTCATTCTAATTCGAGTCGACAAAAGATTGAAAAAGCTAAACATCTTGATCTAATAACGGGGTCCCAAATACATCATTATCATCAAGAATGAATGCTCTTGTCCAAGATTTGTAGAGCCTCTTTCATTGAGGGTCTCTTTTGTGGTACAAGAGAAGCACAATTAAGCCCCAACTTGAAGCACGCCAGGATCACATTTTCTCTACCTTCCTCCATTTCAGATTTGATGTCCACGTCAGCCATCCTCAAGAACCGGGTTTTCTCCTCTTCAACCGAACCGGGGACAGGCCACTGGTCCAACTCCCGGTCCGAGAAAACCCTCCCAGTGAGAAGCTCCAACAAGACAATGCCAAACGAATACACATCCCATTTGGGGTTGGGTTTGATGTTTTGAAGTGACTCCGGTGCTTGGTAAGGCATTTGGTAGGGGCTAGAATCCATGGGGTGGTGGTGGTCTTGTTGGGTTCTTTGATTCACCATTAATTGTCTGGCTGAACCGTTTGCTCTCTGGTTTATGTCATTCAAGAGGAGCCGGTCCAGCCCAAAATCGCTGATAATGGGTTCCATTTCTGAGTTTAATAGGATGTTGCTTGGTTTAACGTTGCCATGCACGTGTTTCTTGTCATGAATGAAGGCCAGGCCTCGTGCAACCCCTTTTGCTATCTTCAACCGCACCTCCAATGCCAAGTTAAAAGGAGATGATGAACCTCCTCTTCCTAAACATTAAAAACAACCAATTTATCAAATGACATAATTCACATAATCATGAACATTAAATCAAAAAACACCTTGGAGTCAGAAAGCTGAGTAAGTGAAGATGAGAACATATGTTTATCCCGAATTGGACTATTTGAGAAGTAACAAATGGATTGAAATATCTAAAAAAACACACAAAGCAATGGAGAGTGAGCTTACTGCAACCAATGCTAGCGAGGTTTCCATTGGGAACATAGTCAGAGATTACAAGCTTCTCATCATGACCCCAACAGAAAGCACGAACCTTAACCAAATTGGGATGGCGAAGTTTTGCAATGGAACGCACTTGGTTCTCAAAGTCCTTCATCCTTTCAATCCCACACTCACCAACCCTTCTAACAGCAAAGGCTCTCCCATCTTCAAGCACTGCCTTGTACACGATGCTCGCGTTGCTGTTTCCTAAAATATACGCTGAAGCCTTCAGCAAAGTCTCCAACTCCAGCCTTGTCTCGCCGTCCACGGTTACAAGAGTTCCTTCTTTCGGAAAGTTTCCTGTTTGTGCCGTGATTTCAACGGTGGTGTTTTCATGGTCACTGTCAGAGCTTGTTGCTTCTGAAGTCTCTTCTTTGATTGTTAAGCATGATGAACAAGGAAGTGAGGGTGTTCTCACAGTCGGGTCTTGTTTTGCAACCGTTTCTTCTTTCTTTTCTGAGTTGGTAGTAACAGCAACAGCAGCAGCAGCATCCATGGTTGGTTTTGGATCTCTTCTCTTTCTTTGTTGGTAGACGAAAAGAATGAACAGAGCCAAAACGGCCACGCCGACCAAGTCTCCTACCACGATGGCTGCTATGGTAGCAGGTTTTAGACCACTTTGTGACACACCCTGAGAATCACTGGAGCTGCCTGTTGTGTTTGTTGTTGGGTTTGTGTCAATAGTTTTTGGAATGGCTGCAATTGCTGGTGAAGATGTGTTGGTAATGTTGGGTGGAGAAGTAGACATAGTAGAGGGAATAGAGCACAGAATCTTCAGGGGCTTGCCGCATAGATCAGCATTCCCAGATAGCAATTCTGTTTTAAGGTTCAACAAAGCCAGAGACTCTGGTATTGGCCCTGTCAGATTATTGAATGAGAGATCAATTGTAGTGTTTCTAGGAATCTTTTCTGCAAATGCTGGTGGTATCGTTCCTGAAATCTTATTGTAAGAGACATTCAAATAGCGCAAGCTTTCACCACCAAAGTCATTTGGGAGAGAGCCATTGAGCAAATTGGAGGACAGATCCAAAATCTCAACAGAGTTGAACCCATTTGGGATTCCACCAGAAAAATAGTTACTCTTCAGAGAAACAACAGTTAGATTTTGTAAAGCAGTGAGATTTTCTGGGATCAACCCGGCAAAGGCATTGTCAGAGAGGTTGAAAAATTGAAGGCTTGTCAATTTACCAATCAAGTTAGGTAGCTTGCCTGAGATAACATTGTTTGAGAGAGAAAGCACTTGAAGCTGAGAATAGTTGAAGATAGAGATAGGTAGAGAGCCGTTGAATAAATTGTTGGAGAGATCAAGATGGCTAAGGTATTGGATCATCCCTAATTCTTCAGCAATGGAACCCAGAAGCTGGCTGTTTGGAAGAACCAAGCTAGTCACTCTGAACAAGTCAGGGGTACCAGGGTCTTCAATTTCAGTGCATGTAACTCCATGCCACGAACATGGAGTTGCATCATCGAAGTTCCAACTCTCTAAGACTGATAGTGGGTCGCTGAGGATGGAGTATTTGAATTTAAGTAATAGAACCCCATCAGAGTTAAGAGCAACAGATTGAAGTAGTAGAAGAAGAAAGGATGAAACTCTCCACCACAAATGGAGATTATGAGAGTTAAGGCTCATGATTCCCTGAGATGATACAACATATTGACAACTACAAGTCCATGGTGTAGAAAAAGAGCTCTCAGAGCACAAGGATGGAGGGCAAGAGACAAAGAAGAAAAAGGATATGGTTACCAACTACAACTTTGTTTGTTTTGTTCACCAAATCTTTGATGAGTGTGATGCTTGGAATGGGGTGTGGTCAAGCAGCAAGCAAGGGGGGTTAGAGAATTAATGGAAAAACATTTTTGGGAGCAGCTAGGATAGGTTGGAGTATTGCAGACAAACAGGCTGTAAGAGGACGAAATGGGTACTAAGAAAATAAAGGAGGAACTGGATTGAGTAGTAGAAGGAAAGTGATAGCAGAAAGCAAAGATAATTCTCCTGCTTTGTGCAGTTGATAACATTGAACTGAACCTAACCGAAGCTAATAATAAAAGTAAGTTGTATGGTACTGCTGTGCTAATTCTCTCTCTCTCTCTAAGTATTAAAAAGACAAAATTTACTTCAGACATAATTGGTGAATCGAACAGAAAGGAATCTAATTGGTACTACAAGACACCCAAATGAGTTGGAGCCCATAACATGTATCAGAGTATCTGGAGACTCCACCACTTCACCCCCCGTGAATTTAGTATAGGTGAAAAATGAAATTTCTAGGAAGGGTGATTCATTTACATTTTTTACACCGTCTTTTACATTACTTTTTTTCTTTTTTAATATGCAGATTGTTATGACATAAGATATACAGTTTATAGGAATTAGACATTTTTAGGCACTACATTGACATTTAGATTCAAACTGCAAAAGTGATTTGCAGATATTACAATCATTTTACTTATAGCTTAGGCTTTTAGAATAAGGTAGTTCTCTCTCTCTCATTTGTAAATACATTGCTGGCAAACAAGAGTTACAATAGTTATGGGCTTACGGTGATTCAATAACAAGGAGAATGCAATTCATGGCAAAATGGATGACTGTGGAATTTCTTATGAAAGAGCGAATGGACAATAAGCTCAAGTCATGTGACCCAAGGGACTAGCGCCACTTTTTCTTTGTTTTCTGTTTGGTTCTGTTGGGTTCGATACCATCTGCGTTTATTTCCTATCACGGTCCAATTCAATTGTGGGACTGTGATAGTGGGGCTGAAGTACTTATGTCTTCTTATAAAAATTACTCATGATATTTTGACACGAATCAATGTGCTAATCCCCATTTGGACACATGTGCTTTCTGAGTTGAAACGTACAGTTGAACTAGATGGGATCACGGGTGTAAATTATCTGGAGAGGAAAACATTTCACCAATCACCACAATTAAAGGCCATTCATTGCATAGCAGCAGTAAATGATGAGGTGTTTCTGTGACTTCACAGATTGCTACTTTATTAACAATTATATGTAGTCATGGCAACCGCTCACATATGTCACCCTCAATTTTCCTAAATAATTGACACTGAAGGCTTCAAAAGGCATGTCATGGAATAGTCCTAAGTCCTACCTTCAAAGTTATTAAATTAATTATTGTCATCATGAGTGTAGGTCTGAGCAGGCCGCAATTTTTAAGTGTGAAAACTTCATAGCCCCAAGGGGAAGCATAAAATCCAAATTAGTCACGAGGTTACATAGTTGTTTTAACACATGCACACAAATTTAAATTTATTTATGTGTGTGTGTCTGCGTGTAAAGATATATATCTTATTCATGAGTATCTTTGTAATTTCTGAAAAGGGTTAAAACTTTCACATGAGATGAACGCTGTCCAAGACTAAGAGCAGGCGGTTTTAAAAAAATAAGGCACTGTCCAAGTGATTATTTCCATCTGAATACACTAATATTTGTGACTTGATTGTCTAAATTCTCAAGACGCGTTTCAATGAGTCCGAAAAAGCCTTACTTGCAGTTACATATGAGAAAAGAATGTGGGAAAAGTTCATCACAACTTTTTCTATAACTAGTGACCAATAGTGTTTATGTTTATCCATTTGAGAAGGAGTTTTGCAAGTTGCAAGGAAAGAAGCTTGGACCTATAAAATGGGAGAACTTACCAACGGAGTTTCTGAGATGTATATTTAATTACAAGGAGGAACTAAATAACTATTATAGATGGTTAATTAATCATTACTTTATATAGATATTGGTCCGTTGCAAACTGAAGAGTACCTTTGTCCTTTTATAATAAGTCTCTTATTATATTCTAATCTATGATGATAATGTTAGAATTGAATATCCACACAGATGCAAGAGACAACCATATTTGTGTATCTACAAAAAATCTTTTCTTTTCTATTCTTGCTTTCTTGCTCTTTTTCTTTTTTCTCTTGATCTACATTTCATACAAACTAGCAAAGGCTATTTATAAGCTATAAAACTGACAAACATAACTCCACACATAACACCCTCATTACTTTATAACTGACATAACTGACTCATTAATATTCTAACTGATATAATTGACTCATTAATATTCTAACTGACACAAGAAACTAAAAAACCAAAACTGTTAAAAAAACGGACATTTAAAATTTATACCAACAAAACTCCCCCATAAATTTTAAATTCTTCTTTCTTTCTTCGCATTACTCCTGCTTTTCTTCAACTTTCTGATCGCGCCTGTTTTCTTCAATCTTGATCACTGACAAAAAACATCTAACACCTTCCAACTTAATTAACTCAAAAAAAATATCTCCCCTGCAATTATTTTTCTGAACATATTTTATTTTATCTGGTAGCTTTTTCAATTTGATATTTTCAGTTTCATTAGCAGGACTTTCCTTGTTTCCATTCGCTGCATCTTCTTCACCTGCAAGTTTCTCGTCACCCAAATTCTTCTCAGTTTCATTCGCCACTTCATCAGTTGCTTTCACAATTTTATTTCCTCGTCCAATCCCAATTTCTGGGTCATTGGTATTGTCAACAAAACCTCTTTTTCTCTTCAAGACCACATCCTTTTCTTCAAATGCACCTTCCATTTTTTCGCCGTTCTCGGCTCCTTCATTGCCGTCTTCCTCGCACCTCCTCAATGGCATCTCGGACCAGCGACCTATGCCGGTCGCCGACGTCGACCTCGTCACGCCGGGGTCGAAGTCTCTTCCAAAACATGAACTCAGTGATTTAGCCGGGATCTCCCCCATACCGGTTATCAACATGAGACTCGGATTCGCAGTCTCCTCCAAGCCGGTCTCCATCAAGCATCTCGGATTCCACGCTTCTCGTTCCTTTGCGGGCTTCTCAAGCTCCTTCGAGATCTCGTCTTCTTTAACAGAAGTTGCTGTCATTCGCAGCTTAATGATATATAAAATTGGGTCTATTATATAGACCAAGATTTACAATTGGTTACATCAGGAAATCAGCTAAACTTAAGGAACAGAAAGCATAAATCAAGCTAATCTATTTACATCAGGAAATCAGCTAAACTTAAGGAACAGAAAGCATAAATCAAGCTAATCTATTTACATCAGGAAATCAGCTAAAACTAAGGAACAGAAAGCATAAATCAAGCTAATCTATTTTAATATACAAGGTAACAAACCGTGATAGTTACAATCAGGATCCTAACAAATTAATGCTACTCTAATACTCCCCCTCAAGGTGGAGCATGGAGGGAGGAGATGCCCAACTTGGAAGTCAAAAAATCGAATTGTTTGGATCCAAGTGCTTTGGTCATAATATCTGCGGGTTGAGAACTAGTGGGGATATGTTGAGTAGAAATAGTCTTGCTGAGAAGATAGTCCCGAACAAAATGGCAATCTAACTCGATATGCTTGGTACGCTCATGGAACACTGGATTAGAAGCAATATGAATAGCAGACTGACTGTCACAAAACAGTTGCATAGGGGCTGCATGAGGAATATCAAGAGAGCTGAGAAAAGACTTTAACCAAATAAGCTCAGAAGTCGCAGCTGCCATGGCACGGTATTCAGCTTCAGCAGAGGAGCGGGATATTGTGTTTTGCTTCTTGGTTTTCCAAGAAATAGGAGAATGTCCAAGAGTAACAAAATAACCAGTGACTGATTTTCGAGTCAAGGGACAACTAGCCCAATCCGAATCACAATAGGCACGAAGAAGAAGATCACTGTCAGATCGAAGAAGGAGTCCTTGGCCAGGATTGGACTTAATGTACCGAAGAACACGAATAGCCGCATCGTAATGTATCTGCATAGGATGCTGCAAAAACTGAGAAAGTGTGTGAACTGCATAACTAAGTTCTGGTCGTGTAATCGTGAGATATACAAGACGGCCAACAATACGTCTATAACGTTTAGGATCATCAAACGGAGGTCCTTCAGCAAGAGCAAGCTTGTGATTGGGATCCATAGGATAAGCAACCGGTTTACAACTTTGAAGTCCACATTCCTTAAGAATATCCAAAGCAAATTTGCGTTGAGTAAGAAACAAACCGGTCTTGCTTCGAGCAAATTCAATGCCAAGAAAATACTTGAGGGGACCAAGATCTTTGATTTTAAACCAGGTTTGTAAATGAGCTTTGACACGGTCACAGAGAGAAGGATCACTACCTGCCAACAAAATATCATCTACATAGACAAGTATAGCAACATAATGGGAACCAGTCGAGTAAGTGAACAACGTATAATCAGCACGAGACTGAACAAAGCCGAAACTGAGGAGAGAACTACGAAGCTTAGCAAACCAATTTCGTGGGGATTGCTTGAGACCATAAAGTGAACGTTGAAGCTTACAGGCGTGACCAGACTTGGTTTGGGAGAAACCGGGAGGAAAACGCATAAAGACTTCTTCATCCAAATCGCCATGGAGAAAGGCATTTTGAACATCCAGCTGAAAAATGCTCCATTTTCGAGCTACAGCTACAGATAAAAATGTACGCACACTTGTCATTTTAGCCACCGGTGCAAAAGTCTCAGTGTAATCTTCTCCTTCGATCTGATTGTTCCCAGCAATAACCAGACGCGCTTTATAGCGTTCAATGGTTCCATCAGAATTGTACTTGATGCGGTACACCCACTTACATGGAATAGCTTTCTTACCAGAAGGGAGAGGTTGAATTTGCCAAGTATGATTGGCTTCCAATGCATCAATTTCGGCTTGCATGGCTTTCTGCCAATGAGGATATTGCATAGCCTCTTTAAATGATTTGGGT